CCCTCTCCCCCTCTCCTATCCTCTGACCCCTCTCCCTCTCCCTCTCCCTCTCGCCGTCCCCCTCGTCTATGGGCTCCCCCCTCCCCTCCCCCCCTCCCTGCCCTTTGACCCCTCTCCCTCCCCTCCCCCTCCCCCTCTCCCTCTCCCCGTCCCCCTCGTCTGTGGGCTCCCCCCCCTCCCCTCCCTGTCCTATTACCTCCCCCCCCGGCTCCGCCGCCCGTGCTCTCTCGCCCGGTGCCCTGCGGAGAAGGTCAAGGTCCGTCTGGCAAGCACGGAGTCGTCGCAGGACGGAGCGGGCCTGCACGGCTCGGGAGCCCGAGGCTGCCAGACTAGACGAGCGCGCTCCACTACTCGCAAAGCGGGCTTCATCAGGAGCGGGGCCGACGCAGGTCACCTCCGGAGGTCATGCTAGACGCCCAAGATGTTGCCTAGCTAGGATAGGTGCCCACTTCTTTGCCAAGCTAGGTGCCCATGATGTTGCAATTGCTGACGATGCAGCGGCTGCACTGCAAGCTGCCTTGTCAGTTCCCCTCGCGTGCGGTGCAGATCATGAGTGCCAAGGTAGAGCAGGCCAGCCCCAGGGAAGCCCAATGGAGCCGGTCGAAGCCCCAACCCCCAGGGGGCGCCACCACAAGCGATTGTTGCTCACGGCGCTGTGCCTCTGGCTCCTGGGTCCACTACTCGCAAAGTAGCTACTCGCAAATGTCCTGCATCCGCCGCGGGGGATCTGCGATAGATTACCTCGAGCCAGGCATGTGTCTTTCAGGCGTTTGCGGGTAGGCACTTTGCGAGTAGTGGAACGCGCTCGGTGACATATGCGGGTGGAAGGCCGGGGAAGTCTCCCTGCACGGATGGCCTACCGCAGGGGCCCGACCACAAAAGAACCTTCCGCGAGAAACCCAACCCCGAGACCCCAGGACGTCCATTGACGTTTGGGGTGGGAACGTCACGGCTTCCGTTGAGAAACCATCGAAGCCCAAGGAACCCAGGGCACCCTGGAGGCAAGCAGGGTGTTTCTTGGCATGGGTCTCCTCTGTGGGGGCCAAGATTGGAGGCTTCCATGGGACGCGTCAGACGATCCCCCGCGGCGCAAGGAGGGGTGACCTCCAAGAGCTCTCTTGCTGGGCCCTGCTGCGGGGGACGGGAAGCCTGTCAGCATCAGTGGTCAGCCGTCCCTTCGTGCGCAAGCCTGGGTCTCTATAGGGAAATAAACAATGACTTATACACAAAAACTCGGAGGTCCGCGCGGAGTTCTCGGATCGGCGCTGGGCCCCCCTCCCTGGCGCGCGGGGCGCGCCAGGGGCGGCGCCGGAGGCGCCGCCAAGGGGCCTCCAGCGCCGATCCGAGAAACGCCGCGCGTACCTCAGAGTTTTTGTGTGTAATGTCATTGCTCGCTTCCCTAAACTTCGACGCAAGTCTGGCTTCACGCGCTGCGATCTGGCGCGCAAGGCTTTTCCCGCCTGCCGGTCTCATAGCATGGGGCCGTCGTTCCAGGGAACTCCCGCGCACAGGTCGCTTGAGGTCTTCATCAGGAGCGGGGCCGACGCAGGTCACCTCCGGAGGTCATGCTAGATGCCCAAGATGTTGCCAAGCTAGGATAGGTGCCCACTTCTTTGCCAAGCTAGGTGCCCATGATGTTGCAATTGCTGACGATGCAGCGGCTGCACAGCAAGCTGCCTTGTCAGTTCCCCTCGCGTGCGGTGCAGATCATGAGTGCCAATGTAGAGCAGGCCAGCCCCAGGGAAGCCCAATGGAGCCGGTCGAAGCCCCAACCCCCAGGGGGCGCCACCACAAGCGATTGTTGCTCACGGCGCTGTGCCTCTGGCTCCTGGGTCCACTACTCGCAAAGTAGCTACTCGCAAATGTCCTGCATCCGCCGCGGGGGATCTGCGATAAATTACCTCGAGCCAGGCATGTGTCTTTCAGGCGTTTGCGGGTAGGCACTTTGCGAGTAGTGGAACGCGCTCGGTGACATATGCGGGTGGAAGGCCGGGGAAGTCTCCCTGCACGGATGGCCTACCGCAGGGGCCCGACCACAAAAGAACCTTCCGCGAGAAACCCAACCCCGAGACCCCAGGACGTCCATTGACGTTTGGGGTGGGAACGTCACGGCTTCCGTTGAGAAACCATCGAAGCCCAAGGAACCCAGGGCACCCTGGAGGCAAGCAGGGTGTTTCTTGGCATGGGTCTCCTCTGTGGGGGCCAAGATTGGAGGCTTCCATGGGACGCGTCAGACGATCCCCCGCGGCGCAAGGAGGGGTGACCTCCAAGAGCTCTCTTGCTGGGCCCTGCTGCGGGGGACGGGAAGCCTGTCAGCATCAGTGGTCAGCCGTCCCTTCGTGCGCAAGCCTGGGTCTCTATAGGGAAATAAACAATGACTTATACACAAAAACTCGGAGGTCCGCGCGGAGTTCTCGGATCGGCGCTGGGCCCCCCTCCCTGGCGCGCGGGGCGCGCCAGGGGCGGCGCCGGAGGCGCCGCCAAGGGGCCTCCAGCGCCGATCCGAGAAACGCCGCGCGTACCTCAGAGTTTTTGTGTGTAATGTCATTGCTCGCTTCCCTAAACTTCGACGCAAGTCTGGCTTCACGCGCTGCGATCTGGCGCGCAAGGCTTTTCCCGCCTGCCGGTCTCATAGCATGGGGCCGTCGTTCCAGGGAACTCCCGCGCACAGGTCGCTTGAGGTCTTCATCAGGAGCGGGGCCGACGCAGGTCACCTCCGGAGGTCATGCTAGATGCCCAAGATGTTGACAAGCTAGGATAGGTGCCCACTTCTTTGCCAAGCTAGGTGCCCATGATGTTGCAATTGCTGACGATGCAGCGGCTGCACAGCAAGCTGCCTTGTCAGTTCCCCTCGCGTGCGGTGCAGATCATGAGTGCCAATGTAGAGCAGGCCAGCCCCAGGGAAGCCCAATGGAGCTGGTCGAAGCCCCAACCCCCAGGGGGCGCCACCACAAGCGATTGTTGCTCACGGCGCTGTGCCTCTGGCTCCTGGGTCCGTTGGCATCCAGTGCCTGCTCTGTTCGGCGATCACCAGGACCCCAGCCAGCTGTAAGACGCTGCTTAAGCCAGGAGCTAAGTGCGAGTCTAGCGCGATGGTTAGCCAGCTTGCCGATGCTACAGGAAGGCCTGTCTGGCGCCAACTCGACCAAGGGGGGGAAGGGAGAGGCTGCCCGTGTCGCTGCCGCGGTTGGCATGGGCGTGGAGGCGGTTGGGTATGTCTTCGAATGTGACGGCCATCGCCTACATCGGGTTGGACAATTTTGATTGTGTGGGCTGTGTGGGATTCGAGTGGCCCGTGGTTCTCCCAAGGTGGGCGCCCTCGGAGTCCCCTGCCCCAAGAGGTCCCCAAACCCCACCAGACGCCGTGCGCGCGACTTGGTGGCGGAGGGACGGGACCCAGCCACTAGTGTGAGGCTGTGAAACTAACTCGTTTGGCTTTCAGATGCGGGTAATCTGAGGTTACTCGCCACGGTTCTCTCCTTGCTCGGTAATAGTATGTATGGGTAATGAGCTTGGACTGCTCCCTGCTCTACGGCTCGCTCGCTCACTCGCTCGCTCGCTCGCTCCTCCTCCTCCTCCTCATCAGTATACTCATCATCGTCGTCATCATCGTCATCCTAATCATCATCAGCATCAGTATCAGCATCACCGTCATCACCATCACCATCATCTTCATCTTCATCCTAATCCTCATCCTCATCTTCATCCTTCTCATCATCCTCATCACCAACGTCCGCAATAATAGCATCAACATCCTCATCAGAACCATCGTCATCACCATCACCGTCTTCGTCATCATCAGCATCATCATCATCATCACCATCATCATCATCACCATCACCACCACCATCAGCATTCAGCATCGTCAGCACCACCATCACCATCACCATCACCATCACCGTCACCAGCACAAACACGATCACCATCACCATCACCGTCGTCGTCGTTGTCGTCGTCATCAACATCAACATCACCATAAACAAAAGGCGGCCTCAACGTGGTCTCTTGTTCCCCTCTACCATATTCTTCCGCCTCGTGCCCCTCTTCCTCCTCTTCCTCCGCCTGATGTTCCTCCCACGTCCCTCCCTCCTGCTACCCCCCCTCATGTTGCTCCTGATCCGTCGCGTCAGGATGGCATTGGCTTACCGTCATACTCATACACCACATCAGCCGTCCGCTTATCGCCCAATTCCTCCTCCTCCTCCTCATCATCATCGTCATCGTCATCACCATCATCAGCATCACCATCATCATCATCATCATCATCATCATCATCATCATCATCATCATCATCATCATCATCAGCATCACCGTGGCCATCAACATCATCAGCATCATCATCACCACTTCTGGCTCCCCATTCCCCCCATGCCCTCCTCATTATTATACGCACCACCACCACCATCAACAAGTACAGCAGCATCAACATCATCATGAGCATCAGCAACAACATCAAAATCATGACCGACATCGTCGTCGGCAGAATCAGCGTCCTTATCCACCATCCCTCATCGAGTGAGCCCAACCATCATCACCCCCACAGCCATCATCATCATCATCATCATCATCATTCATCATCAACATCATCATCATCATCATAACCATACCCAGCATCATTATCAGCACCGTCCTCCTCATACGATCATCAGTAGCATAGTCATCAATACCTCCATTTCCATCAGTACCATCATGATAATCATCATGATTATCAGCCTCATCAACCGCATCATCCTCTGCATCATCCGCATCAGCATCAGCATCAACATCAGCAGCATCAGCAACATCATCATCATCCGCATCATCCGCACAAGCATCAGCATCATCATTCGAATCCACGTCCTCATCCTCGTTCCCTCATCCAAATCCTCATCATCACCGTCGTCATCAGCAGCAACACGTCGATGCCGAATTGCAGGCGTGCGCGTGCTAACGCGCGCTCCTCCGCGCGCACAGCATACGGGCATCCCCGCCCCCAGCTTCAAGACTCCCAGGGTGCGGTCCTGCGCGTTCTTGGAGCCCATCGCGCCCACTATTGGGGCCGGGATGGCGTAGCCTACCTGGCTGCGAGCGCGGCGCCCGAGTGCCTCCAGCACCTCTTCCTTCCCTCTTCCTGATAGATAACTCCCCCCTGTCCCATCCCCAGACATGTCGGTAGGGCGGGCCGTGTGTTTCTCCTGAGACTTCACCATCGCTGACGATCCTGAAGAATGAAATAGATTGAAGAGGCCCTGGGACACACAAATAAATACACATAAATAACAGGATTCCCCAGATTTTCCCATATCCTCTGGGTCTTCGTCTTCCCCCCCACTTCCCATGTTTTCCAATATTTCCTGGGGAATTGCCGATGCATTGTGTCTGCGCGTTGTTGTTCCCTCCTGATAGATGCAAGCCTCTCACGGACGGAGGGCGGGCCGGGCGCAAACAAAAACGGCGTTCGCCTTAGCGCCGCACGCGTGCACCTCGAACATCTGCAACACTGTCACGGATGGAGGGCGGGTGGTTTTCAAAATGCGCTCCTCCTCCTCCTCCTCCTCCTCCTCCTCCTCCTCCTCTTCCCCCTCCCTCCTCCTCCTCCTCCTCCTCCTCCTCGTCGTCTTCCTCCTCCTCCAGTGGTTTGCAAAATGTGGCTCTCGCCTCAACGCCGCGCCCACTCGCCATAAAACATTGCAACACCTTCACGGATGGAGGGCGGGTGGTTTGCAAAATGTGACTCTCGCCTCAACGCCGCGCCCACTCGCCTTAAAACATTGCAACACCTTCACGGATGGAGGGCGGGTGGTTTTCAAAATGTGGCTCTCGCCTCAACGCCGCGCCCACTCGCCTTGAAAACATTGCAACGCCTTCACGGATGGAGGGCGGGTCGTTGACAAAGTGTGGCTCTCGCCCGGACGCCGTGCGCAGTCGTCGTAAACATTCGCAACATATTCACGGATAAAGGGGCCTTCTTTTCCGATCAGTGGATCTCGCCTTAACGCCGCGTTCATTCGTTTTCAAAGTTTCTACCACATTCATGGATTCGCATGGCTGATGTCCCAACAATCGAATTCTGGCAAGATGTCATAACGCAACCTTCATGTTGATTCGCGGTGTTGAAGTCCCAGTCCTGGTATTCTGGCACAGTTCAGGACTTTCAGGACGCAACAGTCAGATTGGCCAACAACGCTGAAGTCCCAAGAATGTTGCTTTGGAACGGTTGAGGATTCTCAGACGTTTGTTTTCCAATGGGGCATTCACCGCAATGCAGATCAATCCTTGTAGGGCTCTACGACGGGGGGAAGCTTGGAGGGAGGGGTTACTGCAACACCATTGATGAGTCTTAGATTTGCACAGGTCCTCCTCCTCCACCTCCTCTCCTCCTACGTCTCTCCTTCATTATCCTCTTTCTTTTTGTTTCGCGCATTGCTCCATTATCCTCCTCCTCCTCCTTCCCCTCCTCTCCCTCCTCCTGCTGATCCTCCTCTTCCTCCTCATCCTGGTCATCCTTATCCCTCCTCCTCATCCTCATCCTCCTCAACATCATTAATTACACCTCCTACTCCTCCTCCTCAACTTCCTCTCCCTTATTTATAACTACCCACCGTCGCCTCGCCAAACGTGTCGGCCAGGTGCGGCCAAGCCTTTCGCACGAGACGACCCTCTCCCACCAAACGCGAATGGGAGCGGAAAGCGTCTGGAGATTGAAGACCTACAGCCAAGACAGAAACCCGCCAGGAGCACCGACGTTTTGCATAGCAACAATAACGAACGAACCGAGAATCGGGCACTAACAAATTGACATGTGAACCGCCTTCCTCCGGCCTCCCCGCCTCCTCCTATCACCCTTTTTCCCCTCCCTGGGAAGGGTGGGGAGCGCGAGGCGGATGTGCACAGCGGCCCTCCCCCGAAGAGACCGACGCCCGCCGCCGGCGCCGTTCCTTCCTCTCGCGCCGCGTGCTTCTGCAGAGAACGCACATCTCGGCGCCCCCGCTGGGCCCACAACGCCGGGCCCTGGGCCCCGGGCGAGGGGGGTGAGAAGCGAGGGGCGCGGAGGCGCGGGGGGCGGGGCGCGGGGGAGGCGAGGGGGGCGAGGCCAGCCCGAGGCCTCCGGGCCCGAGCCCGACGTCTCCCCAAAAGTCGGCCCTCCCCCCCTCAGCAGGCCTCCCCCCTCGACAAGCCAGCTCACCCTCGACAGGCCTGCCCCCCCCCCCCTCTCGACAGGGCAACGACACTGGGCCCTCCCCCATTCGACAGGCCTGCCCCCCCCCCCTTTTCGCCGTGGTGACGTCGTGGGTCTCCCCGACCGGGGCCTCGCAGGCCTCCCCGCCGCCGTGCACGATGCTGAAATGCGGGGTCCAGTTCGGTCAAAGGTGTTGTTGCCAAGACCGCCCCATGGCACCATCAAGACGGCCCAGGAGGGCCCCCAGGGAACAGCCAAACAGCCATCAGAAGCCCCAAATCGTCATCCGGCCAACCCCCTCTCAAAATCATGGGGGACTTGCCCAGTCCATCCGCAAAAACAGAGAAGCATCAATGGTACTATCCAGAGTGTCCGTCTGGCCGCGCGTGTCGCGAAGCCCCGCTCGACCTATACTAGGAGGAGCCTACGAAAGTGGCGGCAAGGGCGCACTTGGCAGTCCCGAGGGAGCAGCGAGGCCCATTCTGCGTGCGTGCGCCGCGTCGCCCCGCTGCATACCCAAAGAGCACAAGGGAACGTAGCGACTGTTGCGCAACGGGCGGCAGTAATAGGGACCGCGAGGTCCCGTCTGGGCGCGCGTGGGCTGTCGTTCCACTGGACCCCCCGGGACCCCGCGAAGGTGGCGACGGTTGCACGGTCGGCAACGCCCCCAGGAGCCGCGAAGTCCCGTTTGGCTGCGCGTAGGGCCACGCTCTGCTGGACCGTGTAGGAACCTGCGACAAGTGCGACATGCTGCGCCAATTCGCAGCCGTGGGGAGCCTCGAGGACGAGGTTGGGTGCGCGTGCCGCGCCGCTCCGGTGAACCTCACAAAAGATCATTACATTACCCGTGGATGCGCAACCCACAGGGGAAACGACGTCTCGCATGGATGCGCGTGGGACCGCGCTCCGATGGACCGCTCAGGGGCCCGCGAGAGTGGCGACATTTGGGCAGTTCGCAGCCCCCAGGGAGCAGCGAGGCCACGCCAAGATGCGTATTATCGTGCCCCGATGGTCGCGTAGCTGGCAGCCAACCGGGAGCAGCGAAATCCCGTCTGGATGCGCGTAGGACCGCGCCCTTCTGGACCCCCCAAGGGCCCACGAAACTGGCGACAGTTGCGCACCTGGTGGCCACCGAAGTGCAGCGAGTTTCCACCCACGAAAGTGGCGACGGTTCCGTAATCGGCAACACCCCCAGGAGCCGCGAGGTCCCTTTTTGCTGCGCGTAGGGCCGCGCACCTTCCTGCGACAAGTACGACATTCGCGCAGCTGGCAGCCCCTGGGGGGGCCGCGAAGACTGAAGACCAATGGGCCTCCGATGGACCTCGCGGAAAAAATTTGGCGCCGCGCCGCTCCGATGGACCTCGCAACAAAAACCATGTAAGTACCCGTGGTTGCGCAACGCACAAGGAACAGTGAGACCTCGACTGGACGCGCGTGGGGCAGCGCCCCGCTGGACCACTCAGGGGCCCGCGAAAGCGGCGAAGAGTTGCGCAGTCCCCCCCCCCGGGAAGAAACGAGGTCCACTCTAGATTCGCGCAGACCCGCATTCCAATGGAGGGGGCAACAAGGTAACAAGGTCTCGTCTGGATGCGCGCGAGGCCAAAACTCCGCCGCGCCTCCCTCGAGCCCGCGAAAGGGGCGGGAGCTGCGCGGAAGGCAACACCTAGGGAGCTGCGAGGTCATGCCTGGATGCGCGCGCGCAGTACCGCGCCCCGCTAACCTCCCATGAGCACACGACAAGGGGCATTGTTGCGCAGTCGTGGCCCTTCCCCCGAGGACCTGGTAGACATCTGACGTCGTGGCCATGTTGCGCCGGGGCTCGCCAGGAGAGACAGAGAGACAAAGGAGCGACGACGGAGAAGGGCGATCGAGCAGGAAGACAAGGAGGAGGAGGAGGAGGAGGAGGAGGAGGAGAAGGCCGGCGCGGATCGGCCACCGCGGGCCCATTGCGCGCGCCGGGCCGCCGCAGCGCCACCCCTGCAGACTTCTCGCGCGAGCTGGTCCCTGCAGCGTAGCTGATGGGCCTCGCCCGACGACACAGGGTCGCAGCTTCACCCTGGGTTTCTCGCGCGAGGCCTTCCACTGAACTCCCGATGAATTGCAACCCTGCCTTGCACGACTGCTCCCCGGCTACTCCGCGCACGAGCTGATCCTAGCATTGCACGCGCCCTGCGCCTCCACATCTCGCGCGCCCCGGCCTGTTGGCAAGGCTTGCGGTTTTGACGGTAGCTGATGCCCGCGATGTAGCTTAGGACTCCCTTGCGTCCACTTCTCGCCAGGGCTGGCCCCTGCCTTGTAGCTGGAGCCCCGCCCCCACGGTCGCCCTTCTCACAATGCCTGATGCGGCCGCCCTGCGCCTTCTTGTCAGAGCTGCTGATGCCGACTTTGTAGCAGGTGACAGCGGGGCGCGCTAATCCGCTGCCCTGATTCCTGCTCCTCGAGCTGCAACGTTGTTCACTGCCGCCCTTTTCGCACGGGCTGCGCCCAGCGTTGTAACTGAGTTCCCCCCCAAATGCAACGCGGGGGGGCGATGGCGCCTGCCCCTACGCGCCCCTTCTCCGGCCCGCGCCCTGGCCCCCGCCATTCGGTCGCGGGTCGCGGGGCGGGCCTGGCTCGGATTCACGCCCAGCCGCCCGTCGCCCCTCTCACACAAAAACGGCGCGCCCGTGCGCCCTGATCCCAGAGCCGCCGCCGTCGGCAACGGGCTTGCGTATCCTCTCGAACCTCGCGGGTTAATGACTGAGGTCGCCGCCACTGCCTTGCCTTCTTGCACGCGCGAGCTGGCCCCAGCCCTGCAGCTGGCGACGCTGGCCCGCGCGGGCGCTTCTCGCGCGCACTCGC